CCCCTGCTCCAAAGTCAATGGTGGAGGTGCTGAAAAGGGAGCACTCCTCCCCCTGCTCCAAAGTCAATGGTGGAGGTGCTGAAAAGGGAGCACTCATGCCTCTGCTCCAAAGTCAATGGTGGAGGTGCTGAAAAGGGAGCACTCCTCCCCCTGCTCCACTGTCAATGGTGGAGGTGCTAGAAAGGGAGCACTCCTCCCCCTGCTCTGCGCTGGTCCTTACATACAGTCACCCTCTCCTCTGCTTTTGGAAGAGACAAAGGCCTGTGACTCTGGGTTCCGGTCGGAGATGGAGCCTCCCCCTGCTCGTCAGAGCCCGCTACTGTGATGAACTGAACCCAGCGCGCCCACCTCGGGAGCAGGCACACAGGGCTGTGTTGGAGAAACCCAAACCAGGGCAGTGGTCCTTTCTTTAGATAAGAGAACTGCTTTCTGATATCTTAGTCGATAACCTGGGACCCCTTTATTCACCCCAAGGTGACCTTAAGCTTCTGATCCTCCTGCCTCACCTCTTGACTGAGCAGATTACAGGCATAGGCCACCAGGCCTGCTTTCACGCAGCGCTGGGAATCCAAGCCAGCTCTTCATATTGGGCAAGTGCGCTCAATGGAGCCACATCTCCAGCCCACGCGAGAGGAAACTTTGAACAAGTTTTCAAAAGCTGGCAGTTCCTGATTTGTAAAACCCCTTGCTTTTTACATGGTAGAACAAGGTGTGGCGTTGGGAGCCCCCCTTCCCTCCAAAGTTAGAGGGCATTTCCAGACTTGTAGCTTGCTTCTCCAAACAGCTAGACCCGATAGCACATGGCTGAGACGCAGCAAAGCCAGTCTACAAGGCTACTGAACTCTCTCTAGGACACTCCCCACGGTCACTTCTTTGGGAACTCTAGGAGGACAAGAACTTGCCTGGTTCTTGCAGAAAAGGCCTAAGGGCCAATCCCAACTCCCAGGTCCACTTTAGGCTAACCGGGTCTTCCATGTGGAAGATCTGCGCTTTTCTGAGAGGTAGTGGCCACAGGCGGGCCATAGCTCTTGCCTCCAGCCTTTCATTCACCTGCTCCCTTGCCTCACTTCCCTTTGCTCAGGAGCTCAAGCCCTGTGTGGTCTCCTGCACCTGATGAGTCTTCCTTACCGTTATTCACCTCTATCTTCTTCTCCTCCCATCCCTTAGGAGTGTCCCCCAGCGCGTCACTGTGCATAAACTGGAGCCACATCCCAGAGACACTTGGTGCCCAGCCATGTCTGTCCTGCAGCCTTCACTCACCTTAAGGACAATCTCCACGGTGAAAACTGCAGTGAACACGTAGTCAAAATACTCAAGGATCTGGAGGTGGGACAGAGGCGAGGCCGTCAGTGAGAGAACTGGCAAAGCAATGGCTCCACCACCACCATCATTACCATCTTGACCACCATCACCGCCACCACCAGTCACTGTCACCATCATCATGACCACCACCAATCATTGTCACCACCACCACCACCACCACCACCACCACCACCATAATCATTACCACAACTATCACCACCACCATCATCACCACCACCATTATCGTTAACATCACTACCTCATCACGTCAACATCATCACCATTATCAACAACAGCATCCCCCCACCACCATCGCTATGATCTCCACCATCACTATCATTACCGTTACTAACATCAGTACCATCATCACCATCATCACCACCACCATGATCGCCGACACTCTCATACCACCCCCATCATTACCATCTTGACCACCATCGTCATCGCCAGCACCAGCACCAGCCTGCCTCTTCAGGGCAGGCAGGCAGAGCCCATCTTGCCTCGGCTATGGCAACACTGTTCAGAAACGGCAGCGGGGAGTCCCAGCCCTCCAGAAACTGTCAGAAACTCTGATGCCCACATGCCTACAGCCACACAGAACTTGGGCCCTAGGGTGGGGCGGGGCGGCCGAGGCCTAGCGTGGAGGAGGATGCTGAACCAGCCGAAGGGGCTGCCATCACCTGGTTCCTCATGGACTCGGCCCGGATGGGGTCCTCAGCGGCCAGCGCAGCACTACTGAGCAGGATGAAGAGCAGGATGAAGTTGGTGAACCAGGTGGCATTAACAATGCGGTGACAAAGGACACGGATCCTGGTGGGGCAGGTTGGGAGGGTGAGAGCCGTGAGATGCCGGAAGTCCAGGCCTCACTACCTTCTGTCCCATGGAGGGACACTGAATCCACTTGCTGTCCCCCACAGTCAGGGAGGAAGGGTAGCCCTGCGTCCACATGATCCCCTGCCTGAACACACAGGACTTGGCGCCCACTTGTTCCTTCAGTCTTAGTCCCGTCTCCCAACTGAGCCCCTTCGTCCCCTGTCCCCTCGACCAGCACCCATGAGGATGCTCCAGCCAAGAATGGGACAGGCGGATCCTCCCTGGGGCAGAAGAAACCCCGGGAAGTCTGCTTGTTCCAAAGCTGAAGATTGTAATAATAAAAACTCCAGCTCTCCCCATACCTCATCTCCTCGCCCTGCCTAAAACTGTCCTTAGAACCAGCCATCACGGTCCCTCTTAGGTGTAAGTAACTGATAAACTTAAAAATACGATTTCTCCCAGAAATACTAGCATTTATATTCACTTTAAAGGTATTTTATTTTTGTTATGTGCTCGGCACCGAAACCAGCGCCTCGTGCAAGTCAGGCAGTATTGAAGCTACCCCCCCCCCCCAGCTCAGTGCTAGCATTTTTAGACAGAGCCCAAGACTGTAACCTAAGGAATGAGTTGTGCATGAGGTAACCAAAGAGAGGGAGCATCAAGAGTAGACCTCTTCGGGGAGGAAAGCCACTGTCTCCGAGGGCCTCATCTGCTACCCCGCATGGCTGCCAAAGCACTACCTACTTATTGGTGGGGCTGAAGATGAAGAAGGAGCTGGCCTCTGGAATGGGCACGGCTTTCTCTTTCAGCTGCAGCTCGGCCAGAGGGCGTGGCCGGGGGCTTATGGGGATCTCAGGCTCGTCTTCCTCGTCGTCCCCTGTGGGGAGAGGGAAAGAAATAAGGGGTGTTTGCAAACCTCGCTAGGCCCTAGGCTTCTGTGCTCAGAGTCTTCCTAGGAGCTTCTGAAGCCGCTAAGCAAAGGCCAATTTGGGGCAGTAGGCATTATTAGCAGGGTACAGCCTGGGCCTTCCCCTTTTGGTGCACAGTGCACAATCTAGCTCAGAAGTTCCCCCCAACCTTCTGCAAGTAGGGCTGTGAGCAAGACTGAGGGGTCTGGTCGGGAGTGGTGGTGCATGCTTTTAATCCTGGGTTAGGATTCTAAAAACAATAAGGAATTTCTAGCATGGGCAGAATGGAGTCAATGTCTCTTGAGCTTTGGCCAGGATCGTGGCCACCGAGGTGAAGCAGAAGGCAGGGAGGAGGAAAAAGACATTCCAAGCGTATGCCTAAAGTGCTCTGCTTGGCTCTCTCCACCAACAGTGCCTCCGCCCCTCCCTGTCAACCCGGCCGAGACCCTAGGGCATGCCAACGGCGCCTGATTCTGCTCTCTCCATGGCAGACACCTGTGGGTTCCTCAGCCTACCCAAATCACATCCCCACTCCTCCCCATCCTAAGAGGCCCCACCTCTCCCCAAGATGACACTCCCATCTGCCCGTCCCGCCATGACTGTTTAATTGCAGAGAGGGTTCATCCTTAGCATTAGCATCTTTGCCGCTCCTCTTAATCCTTTATTCCTTTGTCTGTGTTTGTTTTGTTAATTTTATTGCACATATCCTCCCCTACCCCACACCCCAGTACTGGAAATTGAACCCAAGGTCTCATGTGTGAGACAAGCGTGAGGTAAGCAAGCACTCTACTACTGACCCATATTCCCATGCCTCGGCCTCTGGAGGGGCTGGAATTACAGGACTGTGCATGCGGCCCAGATTGCACAGCACTTTTGTCAAAAGCCAATTCAGCTTATTTTTGGAAGGAGGTTAGATATAAATACATTTTTGGGGGTTTTTTAGAACCCCCTTCCACCCCACCCTTTTCTCCCCCCCCCCCAGCTGCATTAGCCGCTCTCGTTGCTCTCTAGCCCCCTTCCCTTTCCCCTCACATCGCATTTCCTGCAGCTGGCGCCCTCCCATCCTCAGGCCAGCCACGTGCACCCAACAGAGGACAGCCATTAGGCGACACAACTCCACGGGAAGCGTTCCCAATATACTCCTGCTAGATATTTAAAGAAATTTCGCCAGCCTCGCTCCCCATACTTCACTTTGCAAAAAACATTCCATGCGGTCATTTATTTGATTTGTGGAGAGCCTACAGTGTGCCACGTGCCGCCATTCCAAGCACAGAAAGTCCAGTTGGAGCTTAGAGACACTGAAGCTAACGAGCCGATTCCACAGTAAGAAGTAAAACGCTCAGAAGGACCCGTGAGTGCGCTGACCGAGCCTGAGAGCGCTTGTGCCCCAGGTTTTTCCAAGAGGCCGTGTGGTGCTAATCCAGCTTGACTCTGTTCCTATGGTGCATCATGCCCTTGATCCAGATGAGCAGGGCTCACACAGCAGCCAGTGGCGACATGCACCCGGGATGCTTGCCCCTCGCTGGTCTGCAGCTCTGTTTCACCCAGCTTCCTTCCCAAGCCGCCCTTGTGGATTTTCACACAGTGGCAGTCATGGTTTCATTTCAGATACAGGATAGGGAGTGATCTGCCCCATCGCCATATGAATGCAAATGCCCTTCTTTGGCTAGAACCCAGTGGGCAGGGGCGGGGGACTTGTATGCCCACCAGCCCTGTGCTCTTTGGAAACTGGGTGTTCAGTACTGAAGCGGATAGCTGGAACTCAATACCAGTAATTAAAGCATGTGTGGAATGTTATTTTTGCTATGTATACCGCATGGAGAGGCAGGCCTGCAGGTGCCTTCCTTGAGAGGCTAGGTGCAGAAGGGACATCTCCAGGGTCCCGGCCGCCACATGGAGACGCCCAGGAGACACCCAACAGAGAATTCAGCAGCAGCACGTTACCCCTTCAACAGCATCCTGCTCCAGCCTGGGCTCCGGGCTCCTTACCTGGGAAGTCAGCCGAAGGGTAGGGGTCTTTCACCTCATTGACGTTAGATTCGAACTCATCAATTTTCAGCTGTAGAAAGGAACAGTGGAGGTGATGAGGGAGCAAAAACTGATGCTTTTATTTACTGGGCATATTCTGGAGGGCCATTGTTCAGCTTCCTGGATGTTCCCTATAACCTGAGAGGCGGGCGGTAGCTGGGAAAAGAAAGCCAGGCCCAGCACAGTAGATGACCTGTTCCAGCCTGTGCTGGGCAAAATGAAGGCTTTAGCCAGTCCGAGACTGCCTTCACTGTGTGTTCCCTTCGCTCTCTACAGGAGAACTGAGCTCCCCAGGCCAAGATGCCCGGCCTCTCTGCAGCCCAGGACCCTGGCTCCTGACTCTCTTTCCTCACTCTCCCCAGTGGTGAGCAGGGCCTGGGCAAGGCGGGGCTAGCGGAAGTGGAGGGCCAGGCTCCTAGTAGAACTGTGGGTAGGCAGGTGGGCTGCCTTCTTCCTCTGCACGGGACACCAGGGAAGTCTGGCTCCCAATGCTGAAGGGCCTGCGCCTCTCCACACAGGAGTCCCCGGAAGAGATGTGGGCTCTCCTTCCTACAGAAGCAAGGGGATGTTGTCTCCACTACCCTGTGCCTGCTTCCTATCCCCAAAGTGCCCCGAGTAGCATGGGGAGTCAGGGGACTCTCAGAGGCTCTCCAGCGAGCCTGCAAAGGGCTCACCTTGGCGGTGGTGGGGATGCCTTCACCCTTGAACTTCTGCTCCAGTTTCTTAGCCATCGTGGACTTCTCTTCTTCTGACTTGTCTGGGAGCCCCCTGCAGTGAAAAACCAAGGGAATCCAAAGTGGAAGCTGTACGCATGGTTTCAGGGCTGACGATACCCTCAGGAGGATTTCACACCATTGGCTCAGGGGGGCTCAATGGGAAGGAGCAGCACTAGCCAAATCAGAAGGGGGTAGCCCTGGGCAAGCCTTTCCTCTGTGGTAGAAGGTGTGAAGGTGTGAGCCTCTACTCAAGTTAGACTCTCAGTGGTCATCCATAGTCGGTGTTTGTTCTACTGAATGAGTGGGGAGTGGCTTTGCACCTGTTTTATTTATTTATTTGTTTGTTTGTTTTTTGAGACAGGGTTTCTCTGTGTAGCTTTGTGCCTTTCCTGGAACTCGCTCTGTAGACAAGGATGGCTTCAAACTCACAGAGATCCGCATGGCTCTGCCTCCCGAGTGCTGGGACTAAAGGCACCACCACCGCCTGGCGCACCTGTTTTATGTAGGGTTCAGAATGGAACTATGGCCTAAGTTCCAAGCCTGGAAATGGCTGGGACCTTTGCCGGTTTCTCCTCCCTAGCTCTTTCCACCTTGCTTCCAGGAAACGGGCATCCCATTCCTGCAGGCACGTGTGTTAAAAGAAGCAGGCTCCAGGCTGAAGTTCAGTGACCCAAACCGTGATCCTCCCAACCCCAGCTGCATTAGCCTGGGAACTGGCTAGAAAGTCAAGCCCTCATCCATCCCACCCAGTTCAGGCCGGTTGACACGGACTCTGCATTCCAGAAAACCTCCAGATGGTTCATTTGCAGTTTGAATTTGAGAAACACTATCCAGAAAAAAACCTATTCCACATCTACTCCCAGTGGCACCAGGCACAGAGAGACAGGACCAATCACAGATGGACAGATCTGTGGAGAACTGAGAAGTCAACCCCTACTTCACAGTAGCCCGAGGCTCCAAAAATACTGACTCCCTCCAAGAGGTACAGTGACTCAATAGCAGGACCGTGAGGAGGGAAGAACAAATGTTAGAACCCCCTGGGCTCGATCATCGTATTTCTTGAGGTCTGTCTAAAAGTCCAACTTGCTTCCAGCTTTGCCCAAAGAATACTACACATGGTGTAACTTCAGAAGGCCCGAATGTCCTGGTGGGAGAAGCCTGCCCACAAGAGCGGGTGTCGTGTGGCCTCTGCTCATCTGGCTCAAGGCAGGGACCCCACTTAGAGCTTAGAGGTCATGGCTACAGCCACGGCTAGCGTTCCAGCTCTCACCCGGAGGACAGCACTCACTTAGACATCTTCCTGCGCTTTCTCTCCTCGGCCTTGGCCTTCTGGGCAGAAGTCAGACTCTCCGCCTCTGCCAGGTTGTCCACAGCGATGGCCAGGAAGACGTTGAGCAGGATGTCTAGAGGTCAGCTAAGGAGCCTTGAGTTGTGGTGCAAGGCAGTTTCTGGGACAGGAGTTTTGCCTGCCCGTGTGTTTCAAGGCCTTAATCCCCGAGGGGGGCAGTTTCTTGACAGAGCTACACCCTTGGGAAGACAGGCCCGGGAGCGTAGACGGGTCCTCAGAGAGGCTCGCCTGCAGGTGGGGCCTGAATCCACCATAGCCTTTGAGCCTTGTTCTCCGTCTGCAGATCCCAGCTGCCCGATCGGAATCCCCCAGAGCGAGGCAAAGCAGGGGCCATTGACTTCACCTCTGCCCACTCACCGTGGTGCCAGATTCCATAGCACAGCATCGGACTGTCAGGCCATTAACATCTCTCTGCCCATCTCCTTCACTCTCCTCTCTGCTTATCTCACCGTTTGGCCTATCCTAGCTTAATCTTCCTGGACCCAGAGCTCAGGCGGATCCCTGGTCACAGCTTTGTGTCGGCTTCCGTTGTTAACCTGACACACTTGGGAAGAGGGAACCTCCATTTCGGAATTTCCTCCCTCGCACTTGCTTGTGGGTATGTATATCTGCGGGGCATGATTTAAAACTGCTGATTGATGTCGGAGGGCCCAACCCACCCTGGGCAGGTGGTCCTGGGTTATACAAAGAAGGTAGCTGAGGGCTGGAGAGATGGCTCAGAGGTTAAGAGCACTGACTGCTCTTCCAGAGGTCCTGAGTTCAATCCCAGCATCCACATGGTGGCTCACAGCCATCTGTAATGAGATCTGGCGCCCTCTTCTGATGTGCAGTCATACATGCTGTATACATAATAAATAAATAAATCTTAAAAAAGAAGGTAGCTGAACAAGCCAGAGGGATAGGGCTAGTAGTAAGCAACATTCCTCCAAGTGGTTCCCAACCTTTGGGTCGTGACCCCTTGGGAGGCTGAATGATCTTTTCACAGGGGTCCGTCTAAGACCATCAGAAAACATAGACATTTACCTGACAACTCGTAACAGTAGCAAAATTACAGTTATAAAGTAACAACGAAAATAATGTTATAGTTGGCGGGGGTGGGGAGTGGGGGGATCACCACCATGTGAGGAACGGTATTAAAGGGTCGCAGCATTAGGAAGGTTGAGGACCACTGTACTGTGGTCCCTGCTTCAGTTCCTGACTCCAGGTCCTTGCTTGAGTTCCTGCCCTGACTTCCCTTGATGACAGACCATAATATGGAACTATAAGCCAAACAGTTTTTTTTTTTCTCTTTCAAGTCGGAGGACACCTTGGCTCCTCTCGGCATGCCTCCAGCTTCTGGACCAGGCTGGCCTACCCTCTCCACTGCTAATCTGCTAAGCCCTGGGTTTCTTCCCACTTGCTTCAGGCTATTAGCAACCTCACAGCCCATAGCCCCCATGGCTCCCCAACATCTCCAGTGGAAAGGACTACACTTGCTGCTACTACCTTTACTGTGTCCAGTTCCTCCACTCCATGAACCTGGGAACCCCACGGACTGACTTCCTGACCCATGGGGGGACTCCCGATCCTCCCTGCTAATCCAACTCCTCCAGCTCTTCTTTGCACCACCCCCAGAGGGGATACAGTTGCCACAGACGAAAAGGATGATGAAGTAAATGCACACAAGCACGCCAGGGTAGGAGGGGCCTCCGTAGGCCATGATGCCATTGTACATCACAGAGTTCCAGTCTTCGCCTGTCAGGACCTACATAAGGGGGTGCACAAGATGAGAGGACACATCACCCCAAAAGGCCTTTGTCACCTGTCAGCTCCCCCAGTCCCCACGGTCCAGGTGATTACTCCCTACGGTCCTCACTGCTCCTCCTCCAGTTAGCTACAATGTTATCAAGGTGCAGTGGGCTTGGAGGAGGAGTGAGTGGGCTCTGGAGAGGAGCACAAGACGGAAGGGCTGCCTGGAATGGTTGGAAAAAGTCTTATCAAGCCTCTCCAGGACCAAGTTGGATCATGGGGCCACCTCTCTGATCTTAATCCCCAGGCTGAAGTGGACCACACTCAGCCAGGCCTCTGTTATCCTGGCCTCTAAAAATAGTACCACTGTCAAGTCCCTTGAAAAGCACCATCCCTGGCCAGCCAGTGAGGTAGTGAACGGTACAAGGGCAGGATGAAGCCGTCTCCAGGGCAGACTGGTTGTCCCCTACCACTCCTGCTGGCATGGCATGGTAGAGTGACTTGTGAGATGCTGCTGACGTGAAAAGGAACATTTCCATGTTCAACACTAAGAAAGCTCCTCTGGGAGCCTGCGGCTCTGAAGGTCACTCTCTGAATCGCAGCCATGATCCCTTGAGTGGCTTCTCATAGACAGGTAGTCCCTATGCCTCTCCTGTGAGTAATGGGTCTCAGACGCCTGTGGTTTTCCCAGCTTGCAGAGGGAGCTCTCAGCTTGTCTGACTTTTTGCTGGAGATGTGAGTAGCACACCTCCGACTTCCAGTCTACCCCAAGTGTTTACATCAGCTGCCACAGCACTGTGCCAGGGACCAAAAGAAACAGACAGGCTAGGCATCATCAGGCACAGCTCCAGGGAAAGAGACAAATATTATAGTATTGCAATGGCCCAAGAAGGTACAGGCCATAGGGAGTGAGAAGGACGTTGAATTTAACCAACAGGTCAGGGAGGTGATGTTTTCCCAGACATTGAGGCAGAGCTCAAGAACCTCCCAGAACGAGGGCTTCCCCGACAGGACACCTACCTGGAAGACACTGATGAGGGCCTGGGGGAAGTTGTCGAAGTTGCTGCGCCGGACTTCTGTGTCTTCGAAGTCATACCTGCCTCCAAAGAGCTGCATGCCCAGCAGGGCGAAGATGATGATGAAGAGGAAGAGAAGCAGCAGCAGAGAGGCGATGGAGCGGATGGAGTTGAGCAGCGACGCCACCAGGTTGCTCAGGGATGTCCAGTACCTGCGGAAGAGGAGCAGCAGGGTGGGGGATGGGCAGGGCCTGCTCACTGCTGCTCCCCAGCCGGGCCGGGAGGGCTGGAGGCCAAGACTGGAGACTTAACAGAAAAGGGCTAGGGCTGAATCCCTGGCTTCCTGGTGCATGCCTCTTGCTGAACGTCTATCTGTCTGCCTTCGTTCCCATTCCATACGCCTAGGTGGGGCTAGGGATGAACTTCCATCCTCACTGTGCACACACCATGAGAGTAAAGACCCGTGCTCATGCCAGTGCTGGACAAATGCTTAAGAACATCATAGATCTGGGTGGTGGTGGCGCAAGCCTTTAATCCCAGCACTCAGGAGGCAGAGGCAGGCAGATCTCTGTGAGTTCGAGGCCAGCCTGGGCTACAGAGCAAGATCCAGGACAGGAACCAAAACTACACAGAGAAACCCTGTCTCGGAAAAAAAAAAAAAGAACATGGTAGAACTCCTTCATCGGTGATTTCAGTTGCCTGGAGCCAGTGGAGGACAGCCTTAAATCCTATAAATGCAGTGCTGTGATACATTTCCAGAGAAAGACCATCGTCACAAAGATGGTTACAAGACATTATAATTGCGAATTTGTATTCATGTTAATTGTTCAGGAAAAGGCATGAGGTATTTAAGGCACAGTTTCAAGCACCTACTGGGGCCTTGACAAATCCCTGTAGAAGGGAAGAAGTTCAAATGACATCATGTCCTTCCCTCTCTCTGTCTGGTCTGCCCACCCACCCACCCACCCCGGCCTGCACCATGTCCCCTTTCTTTCTTTTCTCTACCCCTCCCACATTTCTCTCTCTGTCTCTTCCTTCCATCTCCCAGGGCTTCCCTTTTCTCCTTTCTTCCTCTTTCTGGCTCCTCCCTTTCCCCCCGACCCCCCCGCCCTGGCACAGATCACAGTGAGGCAGAAGGAAATGGGCATCAAGCGGTGTGAGTGGGATTTATTATCTTCCCCAGAGGGCAGTGATTTAAGAAGAAAAAAGGAGGCCTCGGCCAGGCCAAGACCAGACTTGGTCAGCCCCTGCAGCATCAACCTCTCAGGGGCCCCCCACCACCGCTGCCGGCACTCACTTGGTGATCTTGAAGAGCCTCAGGAGCCGGATGCAGCGGAGCACGGAGATGCCCAGGGGCGTCATGGCTCCCGACTCCACCAAGAGAATCTCCAGGATGCCGCTGCACACCACGAAGCAGTCGAAGCGGTTGAACACGGACATGAAGTACTGGCGCAGGCCCAGCCCATACATCTTCATCAGCATCTCAATGGTGAAGAGGGCCAGCAGCACACGGTTGGCGATATCTGCAGAGGGTAGCAAGGGCCCCAGCACGGCTTCCTCCCCTCCTCGGCTTCCTAGCCTCTGCCCCAGGTGAGCCTCTGCCAGCACGCATGCCCTCCCTACCTTTCCAACCCACTTAAGCCCCTTTGATTCCCAGGACCTAGGAAAGGGCCAACAAGATGGCTCAGCGGGTAAAGGTGCTTGCTGCCAAGCCTGAGGACCTGGGTTTGATCCCCAGAAGCCATATGGTAGAAGGAGAGCTTCCCCTCCACAAAACCAATCAATCATCAATCAGGAATGTAAAACAGTAATAACAACAACCTGGTGAAAAACCTGGTGCATTTTGTCCGTCAAAAGAACCTAAATCTGTATTTCCAGCAGGGTAATCCATACCCATGTTAGCAGGAAGAAAGTTGTATAAGTTCATGAAGGTCCAACCTTCCTCATTAAACACCGTCTGTCTTCCTGGCAGAGAGTGGGTGGGCTTCACTAAAGGCAGTCTGCTCTCGTGTGCTTTGCCCCATCTGGGATGCCCATTCTCCGTAATTGTTTGTCTTGCTTAACTGCTTCACTTCCTCCTTTCTGTTTGTTTGTTTGTTTGTTTGTTTGTTTTTTTCGAGACAGGGTTTCTCTGCGTAGCTTTGCGCCTTTCCTGGAGCTCACTTGGTAGCCCAGGCTGGCCTCGAACTCACAGAGATCCGCCTGGCTCTACCTCCTGAGTGCTGGGATTAAAGGCGTGCGCCACCACTGCCCAGCCACTTCCTCCTTTCTAATGTTCCTCCTTGTGTTCATTTATCCAGCTCTAAGGTCAACTCCACGACGCCGAATCCAGCAGATACAGACTTTCAAGTACTTGCTTTCCCACAATTCTATTCACACCGTCTGCTTGCTCTTTCAAATGCTCTCTCCACCACCATCCACTCTGGCTTCTGTGACACCACATTCCTTGGGGTTTCCCAGAATTGCACCCCTGTCTTCTCCTAATTCCCGCTGCCCTGCATTCTTCACCAAGTCCCTGGTGATGTTCTATGATCACAGATCCAACACTGCTCCCGCCAAAGATGCCCACCTCTAGTTCTCCAAAGACCCAGCCTCTGCATTGTGACCCAGACTCAGTTTTCCATCAGCTTCTTTGACACTGCCCATTAGAATGTCTCAAAGGCACCTCAAACTTAATATGCCCAGCACCACAAGGGTGGATGTTGCCTATCATCCCACAGTTGCCAAAACTGCCATCTTAGAAAGTAAGACCACCACCGTCTGCTGTCTGCTCAGTCTAGGAACCCCAGATCCAGCTCTTGATGGGTAGTGTTCCATCTTCACATGGGTTCACTAACACTGCCGGATAATGTGTAACACAGTCAAGGGCTCTGAGGAAGACTGGCTGCAATGAGTGAGTGAGCAGATGGGTGCATGCATGCATCTGAAGGGCAGGTTTTCTTCTGCTCTTTAAAGCTCTAGTCTCTATTTCATTCACTTTAAACTTAGTCTCTTCTGTGGTGTTTCAGCATGCCACGTACCTGCTCAGCTCACTCATGTGCATCAGGCCGGTGACTCTTCCTCAGAGCAACTGTGTTCTTTATTTGAGTTGTAATTTTCCTCCCATGGGAGCTCATCACTAGAGATGTTCTCTCCCCAGGGATTCATATGCCTTGGCTTGAGGACATTCCTATAAGGGTGCTTGTGTCTGCCTCTGGTGGACTCCCCCAGGGTTCTCATTGTCTTTATGGGTCTGTCTTAGTTTACCCTCCCTGCACTGTGAAAGGTGCTGCTGCAATTTGGACCCCATCCTCACACAGGACACAGGTTGGAGTCATTTATCACTTGTGGCATGTTTCTTCCCTCCTAGGACCCCCAGGAGAGGAAACTTCCAGACTCCTTGTCTATCTCAATGGGCAATAACGTTTTAGATCCCCTTACATGGAAGTATCCTTTCCAGGCCCTGGTCTAAGCAGGTGTTCTGGTTTTTGTTCCCCACCTCACACAGGCCCAGGGTCCTGTCTCTGGTCTCTGCATAGACATGAAGAGCCCAGTTACCACCCCTGAGGGTTTAGGCCTGGGTGTCGAATGTCTCTGCAAATGAGTTCATGAGCTCCTTGCCTCTGCCACCCAGAGACATTCTTATTATTTATTATAGCTTCAGTGTGCAAAGTCCCCCCACAGGTTCATGCATTTGAACTATTGGCCCTCATCTGGTGGCGCTGTTTTATGTCAAATCTTTAAGAAGTAGAGCTTGGCTGGAGGAAGTATGTCATTGGGGCAGGCCACGGAGTTTAGGGCTCTACTTCCTGTCTACTCTTGCTTCATGACTGTAGGCACAATGCTCCCATCCACCACATGCTCTTGCTCCCCCTGTCATAACTGACTGGACCCCTTCTTAAGGGGCAAGCCAGAATAAACTCTTCCTTCCGTAAGTTGCTTTTTAGGTAATTGTCATAGCAATGAGAAGAAGAACCAATATGTCATTCCTTGAGACGCTATTATAACTCAAGCCACACTGGTGTTAGTAGTGGGAAGGGTACCTAGCTTTGGGAACTGGCTCTTATTTTTCTTAACTGGTTCTTGGTCACCGTCCAGAGCTCTGCACACAGTGGCGGCATCCCCTGAAAGGATGAGGCTGGCCCATTCATCTTCTACCAAGGCTGGTCCTTCAGTGCCTCAAATCTGATCATATTATGTTTACGCTTATAACTGTTTCATTGGCTTCCCTGTACCCAAAGCTTAAACTCCTGATGCACTATGACAGTCCACATGGACCCCTATGAACACATACAGCTCCATCTGTTGTCCATCATGTATGAAGTTCTGTGGCTTCCTCAATTCACCGGACTATTCCACGTGTTTGCACTCACTGCATCTTCTGCAGGAATCCCTGCCAACCTTCGACCAGCTGGGCTTTATCTCTGTGTCCTTTAGAGCTGTGGAGCATGCGCATCTCCTCTTGTATTCTTTCTCCTACCATCTTATATTTGCTTTCATTGTCTTTCCTGAATGCAATGAATTAACTGTTTGCAGTTCTCTCTCTCTCTCTCTCTCTCTCTCTCTCTCTCTCTCTATATATATATATATATATATGTGTGTGTGTGTGTGTGTGTATGTATATATATGTGTATGTATATATACACTATATACATATATACACATACATATATCTCACTCACTGCATAGTTACTATATTATAACAGTATTTGAACTTGGATGCTTACAGCTCTGTTATTGACAGTCTTATGTGCAATGGAATATAATTGAATAATTTGCCTAGATACCTGAGGAAACATCTGCAAATTGTCCCTGTGTATCATTGGCACTGCCCTAAATCAGAAGGATGCCAGGGGGGAAAAGTGGGCATGCCACCTTGCCTTCTGATGCCTCTATTCTCCCACTGTGAAAGGAGGGAGTTGGGCCAATGGACCAACAGGAGTAGTACATCCTTTCTAGAAGACATTGTCGGTCTCATTGACTTCAGCACACCCTGCAGCCCCCTCGGCAGGTTTAAGCTTCTCATCCCGAGTGCTCCTTCCTGGCTCCATTCCGTCTGACTCACCTTGCAAATGGGTCAGCCACAGTGGCTGGTTATGGTGCTCTGAGGCAATAGACAGGGTGTTGAGGGCGACGATCAGGATCACCAGCCAATAGAAGACCTTGGATTTCACCAGGTCATGGCACTTCCAGCGGAAGACACGGTTCCACTGCCTCCAGTGCCGACTGCAGGAGATAGGAGAATCGGGATCCATCACTTTTTTTTTTTTCTGAGATAGGGTTTCTCTGTGTAGCTTTGTGCCTTTCCTGGAATTCACTCTGTAGCCCAGGCTGGCCTCAAACTCACAGAGATCCGCCTGGCTCTGCCTCCCGAGTGCTGGGATTAAAGGTGTGCACCACCACTGCCTGGCAGGATCCATTACTTTTAGCCACACTCACTTTCCTCTCTGGGCATGCAAGAGAAATGGAGGGCATGGTCTAGGTCAATTTAAACCTGGCTTCCTATTAGTCAAGTTTTGCCTTTCAAATGAGAATGCTAACAACTACGATCTCCCAGGCGATTGAATGAGACAAAGCAAGCAAAATGCTTAGCATGGCATCTGATACAGAGAGAAGCCAGGAGCACCATGCATTTCAATTTCCACTAAAGAACATTGTGGTGGCCAGGTAGCAGTGGCCATGCCTCTAATCCCAGCACTCGGGAAACAGAGCCAGGAAGATCTCTGTGAGTTCGAGGCCAGCCTGGTCTACAGAGCGAGATCCAGGACAGGCACCAAAACTACACAGAGAAATCTTGTGTCAAAAAAGAAAAACAAAAAACAACATTGTGATGCCAATTCTACCCATTTTAAACGGGTGTTTTACTAACTCAAAGAGGATTTCCGGATGGGTGTGTGGGAAAGGCGTTTGTTCTCTTTCTTAGTTAGCATGCCCTTTTGGTGAGCGACCTCACAGCACTTACTAAAGTTTAGGTTTACCTATCCTTAACTCAGCAATTCCACTTGTAGAATTCTGCCCAGAATGGCACATACTTTACCAGGAAGAACTGATTAAATATAAAATGGTGCATCTATACCATGGGACATTTTATAGCCAAAGTTGCAATTGATAAAGATATGTGTGCCCACGTGCGTGTGTGTGTGTAGGAGAGTGTGGTGCTGGAGAGATGGCTCAGCAGTTAAGAGATCTGGCTGCTCTTCTAGAGAATCCAGTTCAATTCCCAGCACCCACGTGGTGTCTCACAACCATCTGTAACTCCAGTTCCAGGGCATCTGATGTCTTCTTCTGGCCTCTGTGGACACTAGGGATGCACGTGGTGCACAGACATGCATGGAGGCAAAACTTCCATACACATAAAATAAATAGCCCAGCGGTGGTGGCGCACGCCTTTAATCCCAGCACTCGGGAGGCAGAGGCAGGCGGGATCTCTGTGAGTTCGAGGCCAGCCTGGTCTACAGAGCCAGACCCAGGAAAGGCACAAAGCTGCACGGAGAAACCCTGTCTCAAAAAATAAAAAATAAAAATAAAAAAATGGAAATAAAAATAAACAAATACATTTAAAAGTGTATGTCTTCATATATGAACATGTACACACAAGAGTGAAAACCGAACTCAGCAGAAAATTTTAAGGAAAAAAATATGTCACAAAATAGTGTGTATTCATTTACTCAACAATATCTTCAATATCTCCTCTATACCAGTCACAGTTTTAGTCTTTATGGTGACAGTAATAATTAACACGAATAACCTAGTGTATAAAAAGCATAACAAGAAAAAATATCCTGCTGTGTGTGTGTGTGTGTGTGTGTGTGTGTGTGTGTGTGTGTGTGTGAAAGATGAAAAGCACAGAAAAGATCTTAGTAGAATACATATCTGTTACCATGGTGACTTCTTTGAAGGGCAGCAGGGACCTCCATTTTTTTCTTTGCTGTTTTTCTCTCTTGTTGGGTCTTTCAAAAGTTATAATTATGTATGAATTTGAAAAAGGACACAGCCTTCTTCTTGCCACTACCTTCTTAGCTGGGGCCACCTCCTTCCTGCATGCCACCCCATACCTTCGCTCTTTCCTCTCGCAAGCTCCCAGCACCCAGCGCCATCCTCTCAGAGGGTATAGCCAAATGCCCTCTCCAAGGGCTCCTGTTTTACCTTGAGCACTGTATAAATAGGTCATCTGCCCAGGGTCCTCTCTGATTCCCTGGGCATCCAGCCACTGCTGAGTCCTCAGAGCAAGAACTGGCCCTGTTTTCTAGATAGGCCTTTCTAAGGGCTCAAGAAAGTGCCATGAGGAGAGGATGCTGGATTCTGGCCCCGTATCCCGGGTCAGGTACTCACATGAACTGAATGATTTTGTTCAAGCCCTCGATTTCGTACAAGCTCTCTGTGTCCGAGCCCCCTTCATCCAAAGACAGCTTGCCTGGGGACAGGACAGATAGAGTTAGCAGCCTTTAGGGTCCCTTGGGAACAGACACACTTGGTTAGGCATTGTTGGATAGGACACCTATGATGGTGGGCTCTTGGTGGACCACTGTTGGGTCTTCCTATAAACCGGAGTGGCCCGGCTACAGGGCATGTGGCCACCACGGGCAGGCCACAGGATGATTTGAGAAGGGCTCAGGATGCACCTGGACTCTACCGTCTTGAGGTGCAAGGTTTTTCACAAGACATTGATGAGCCTCTGAAAGGCTCAGTGGGTCTCTGGGTGCGCTGGCTAATTTTACGTCAACTTGACACAGAGTAGGGTCATCTGAGAGGAGGGAACCCCAATTGAGAAAAATGACTCTGTAAAACTGGGCAGGAGGCAAGCCTGTAGAGCATTTTCTTAATTAGTGATTGATGTGGGAGGGCCTAGCCCATTGTAGGTGAGGTCATACCTGGGCTGGCGGTGGCTCTATAAGAAAGCGGGCTGAACAAACCAGTAAGCAGCACCCCTCCATAGCCTTTGCATCATGGAACTGTGAGTGAAATAAACTCTTTCCTCCCCAAGTTGCTTTTGGTCATGGTGTTTCATCACAGCAATAATAACTCTAAGACACTGGGTGTTGGGGGTGGGGGGCTATGCAGAGTTGCACCCTCCAGGGAGTAACTGGGGTGGGGGGGTGCTGATCAGCATCAGGCAGGGGGATTTGGCCATGGCTCTGGGCCCCAACCTTCTCTCAGGTCCTCCACGTCCATGACCTCGCCCTGTGTGATCCAGCTCATGTAGCCTCGAAGGTCCTCCTCTAGCTGCTGCTTCTCCCGGAGCTTTTGGAAGGTTCCCCTGGACTTGGCCTTCTCCCGCTCCTTCGTGAACTCCCTAAAACAAAACCAAAGAGGTAGGAGGCGGGAGAGGGAAGGGGCGGGGAGAGAGGAAAGGGGGCGGGGAGAGAGGAAAGGGGGCGGGGAGAGAGGAAAAGGGGGCGGGGAGAGAGGGAAGGGGGCGGGGCCCACTGAGCTTCCTTAACACAGGACACATCTGAGATAGACGTGTCCTCTTCTGGTCTGGGGCACTGCCTGTGGGCCAGGGACCCTCAGAGTGCCCCCCCCGTCTCTCCTTCACCCAGCCCCACCTCCAGACACATTTCCAAGCACTATTATAGGTCTTTGATTTCTTCCCAGACGATCTCATTTTCTCCTTCGGTTTATTCTTGGATGTCAGGGATGGATGGGACATTCTATTATTCCAACAGAGCCAGCCAGAAAGCCTCAAATTTGCCATACTTCTTGGCCTTTTAAGCTATCCTAAAATGGTTTCTGCTTATAGACTTAAGGCCTGAGGAAATCCTCTTGGACACAAGGGGAACCTGGCAGTCACCAGGAAGCCAAGAACCCGAGGGGGTGCAAGGCACCTATTGACCAGTAGAGGGCAGCACTAGGCCACCAAAGAACTCAGTGTGCCCTAGAAGAGACACCAGCTGAGCGCTGATCTGATCTAAAGCCCCGGGGCAGGAAGGGTCTGCCTTTAGGACAGTCACCTCACCCTGGCAGTGTGGTGTCCAGCTGAGTGATCTTGACCATTGTATGCACTAAGTTTTTGGTAGCCCACCCAATGGAGCCCAACCTCAGATCACTCCTCAGAACAATGCCACAAAGCGCACAAAGTAAGAACGTGGAATTAGAAAGGAACTGATCAAAGTGAAACATAACCACAGAAATGTAACAAATGCCGACAGAGGAATGCAGGTGCTTCTTCATTAGCTACGAGGATCCTGTTGCAAGTCTAATGCCAGTTCACCAGCAATGGTGAATGTAAACAGTTCAGCAATGGACACGTGACATGATTTCCATTAGGAGAATCCACAGGCCCTGCTAATGCCACTGCGGTTAGTTGCCTGCATCCATTATTAAAGGAAACACACATTTATTTCAGTTAATGCACTAGAAAGTAGAGATGGGTTTTCTCTAACCAACCTCACAGACTCCTCAGTTCTGTGTACAGGCTGTTGGCGTGGGGTGGGGGACGGGGGAGGGGGCGGCGGCGACAGACTTCTGGAGTGAGATGATGTCAACCCAGAAGGGAGCTGAGGCTACAGTTAGCCCCACCACTGTGGCTGGGGTGGGCGGCAGCAGAGACAGACACTCTGCCGAGAACAGCACTCATTAGTGATGGGGATGGGGATGTGCTGGACTGTTCTGAGTACTTTTAACTCATTTCATGATAACCCTAGGAAACAGGTCCTGGAATTGTTCTTTGACAGATGTGAACACTGAGGTATTGAGAGGTTAGGGAATTAGGCAGGGTCCCAGAGCCTCTAGGTAGTAAGTAGTACAAGGATGAGGCAGGCAATCTTGACCAGAAAACGTGTTCTGACACACACCCAGGGATAGAATCTGGGGCTTACAGGCTCACACGGGAGTGTGGATGCTGGAGACAAGAGGACACAAAAATGGGAGAGACTGCAAGCTTGAAGGATGCTTCTTCTAGCTAAGCAGGAAGAAGTGTGCCCGGCCTGGGGAGCTCAGAGAGGAGCTGAGGGTCTGGGTCCGCTCCCTTCTCCCTTCCACCAGCTGCTACTACTTCCTTACCCGCTCAGGACACCCAGCACCAGGTTGAGGATGAAGAAGGAGCCCAACAGAATGAGGGTGACAAAATAGATCCAGGGCCACTCATTTCCGATGGCATCGTTGACCTGGTCCAGAAAAAAAGTGTAAGTTCAGTACTCTGACTTGAAGGGTAATTCTTGCCTCCAGTTCTGTCCGTCCAGACTCCATAAGGGAAGTAGCCATTTGGGCCCGGTGAGGAGACTTTTTCCAGCCTGGGGACAAGATCCAGGCTGAAAGGTTTTCTCAAGGGACCCTTGCTTTCCTGTGCACCTGGCCCAGGCTAGGCAGATGCTTTGCCCATCTAGTCAAGGGCACCTCTAACCTGCCTCTCCCGTGTACAGTAAGACCCCATGTACAGTCCATTTCTTTACAGCCAGAACTTTTCAAAGTGACAATCCTCTGTGACCTTAAGCCAAGTGTCCTGACATCTCTGAGCATTTTCTCATCTATCTAGCAAGGTTATGGTACGTGCTTTCCTCCTAGACATGTAGGGGAGGTGAAATAGCATGTGTGACATTCCTTTGACATGTTTAATTATCTGCTTCCCTAACGTGAGCCTGCGAGAAATGCTCACACTAATCCTTTATATTTGCAAAGCATTTGACAGTTTTGCAATTCCATCTCCACAGGCAGCACCACATTGTGCTTGAGAGTTCTGGACTGGAGCCAGATGGGTGAGAGCTCAGTGCTCAGCTCAGTTGCCCATTAGATTCATGAACACAGTTGCATAACCTCTTGGAGCCTCAGTTTCCTTACCTGTAAAATGGGGGTGATACTGTCTGTTGTTGGAGCATTAAACAAGAAATGCAACAGAACTAGAAAATACCTAACAAAGAGGTCGCTCTAATGAGAAAGCTTCTGTCATGATGAGACTACGCCAGGCAATGTTAACAATTCTGTTGGTTTCTCCCCAGCTCTCTGGTGTGAGCAGTACATTATTTTTATAGATGAGGAGGAGACTGATACAAAGCGTTATTTACATACGAAAGCCATCCCACCCAATGGCAAAGACAAAGACCTAAAGGACCCCTCATCCTTCAAGTGTCCAAGATACAGGACACCAGGAAAGAGTCACCAACATTCTAGGGAAAATTCAGGCGTTAAGACTAGAACTCATGGAGGTCTTAGTATCCACCCCTCACCCCGTTCCTGGGTCTTGCAGACTTTGCACCATGAGACCTGTCCCAGAGAATACCAGACAATCTGTAGGCATGAGGAAGACGTCATACACCTGCATGGATACCCAGGGAGGGCAATGCAGATCCAATGGCACCCAGCAGTGGCTGGCCTCTGGGGCGGGCTTATAAGCCCTTCCTTCCTGCTCCCCTAGTGCGGTGGGTGGCTGTGTGAGCCGTGCCCTGAAGCACCGCCCCTAGGGAGGCAGCTGTAGCTGTTACACCTGCCTATGACCTTGAGGTACTGGCCCCTGGGGCGTGGCCACCGGGGACCCTTAAGACCTGGGATGCACGTTCGCTGACCCCTCTTGGCTACCTCATGGTTCTGGATGCTGAGATCTTGGACCAAGCCGTTCAGTGTGGGACATAGCTCAGCTTTCCCGGACCCTGCGATAAATCCCCCGTGGTTGTGAGTTTACCCCCAAATAAATTCCTTTGATCCTTAAACAGACTCCGTGGATTAATCCTAACACCCCAGTAAGCCCTTAGAAGTCAGGGGTGGCTCAGAGGCTCAGACCCACCCAGTATAGGACATCGGTCCACCCCTCCATGGAGATGCATTGGTACACGGTGAGCATGGAGAAGCCGAAGTTGTCGAAGTGGGTGATGCCATGGTTGGGTCCCGGCCAGCCTCCTCGGCACTCACTGCCGTTGATGGTGCAGGGCCGCCCCGAGCCGGTTCTAGCACAGGGCGATGGCTTCTCGTTCTCCACTGTGGCCACGATGTCTGGAGGCAGAAGGCAGTGCATTAGGCATGTGGGCTGGAGGCAAGCTGCTCAAGGATCTCGTGAAAGACCAGAGTAAGAGGTGAAGAGGGACAGGACCAGGACTGGCGTTCGGCACCCACAGGTGGCAGCAGTCACGTCCTAGAAGAACTAAGAGAACTTTGGAAGGACTGCTCCTAAGAGGAAGCGTCCCGTGAAGCTCAACTCATGTCGAGGAGTGACCAGAGGGGTCTTCGTACCCTCTGAGATTTAAAGAGGGGGCCACTGTCCAGTTGGGGTGGGCCGGGGACAGGGGCTCCCATGCTCTGACCTGAGATTCAGTCTGGGGAGTCAAAGTGGAGCTGTGCAAGTCACAGCGCACACAGGACCAGGGCCACCTTCTAGGGAAGATGCCATCGGGCTTCAGATCACATCCCTCTGCGTCCCCCAAGGGGCCTTTAATTTCCTCTAAAACTTCGTTCTCTCTCTCTCTCTCTCTCTCTCTCTCTCTCTCTCTCTCTCTCTCTCTCTCTCTCTGTCTCTGTGTGTGTGTGTGTGTGTGTGTGTGTGCACTACTGCACATGCGTGTGAAGGCCAAAGGTCGGCATCAGGTTTCTTCTTCAGTGGCTATCCACTTTATTTCTTGAGACGGTCCCTGGCTGAATGCGGAGCTCACTGTTTGGCCTGTGCTGGATGACCCGCGAGCCTCTGGGCTCTGCCTGCCTCTCCCCTCGTTGCTGCTGCACCTGGCTTTTTACATGGGTCCTGGGGACACGAGCTCTGGATCCTCAGGCCTGCAGAGCAAGCACTTTGCCCATTGGACTATGTCCCCAGCCACTGAGATCTAGTATTATCATATCATTTTGATAATGCCGTAGAACGCTTTTATCTTAGGATGTCTGACGGCATCCTGCTGACTTCTATGATTAGGTTATCCTTGGAACACAGTGCCCTCGCCTTAACACACTTACAGTGTCAGCTTGGAACTCTGAAGATGGGCGGGGAGGACAGGGATGATCAGCTTGGGGTCCCTGGCTCTATGAAGCAGACGGCTCTGATGTGAGAGGGACATTTGAATACTGCTGCTCAGCATTCCTTAATGGCTTGGCACCTCCAAATTTGCCCCAAAGCTCATGCTAGACCATCCCTGCTGTCTACAGTGCTGATGACAGCGTGTGGAATGTCCTGCTGATGGAAGGCGCCAGCATGGGTTACAGAGCGTGGAGCATTCTGACGATGGAGAAACTCCCGTGGGAGATGACTGGGGAGCTGCCAGCTGAAGCCTCCTCAGAGTTCACCCTCAGAAGCTAGGTTTGACCCTGCATTGATGGATCCTTGCCGTCCATGGGTCTGGGGAAGCAAACAGCCTCTCCCCAAGAGGGAGTGAGTGCACAGGCTGGCTGCTCCGGCGAGTCGAATGTCTGGGATCTGGTAGAGTGCTGCGGGCCGTGGGGAATATATCATAAGAACTCAGCTGGTTATGGCAAAGTCACTACCTGGAGGGATCAGGGAATTCCTCCAGAGGAAGCCAAATAGTTTTTGGTGTTACTTGGCTTGTCATATATCAGCTGTATTCTGTTATGAAAATCATGTGTGCCTTCATAGTTTTCCCAATTGATTTTTCCCTAAGGGCTAACAGTGTGGACTGATCACTCTCTGGACATACACATTCCAGGTGTTTGGAGAAAAGCCTCAGGAAAGGCTTTCTCTGGAATCAGATATCTATCTCCCTTGGCCACTTTCAAGGACTAGCAGTAATAACAGTCCACATGCAAGTCTCCTGATTTAAGATAAATTCCACGAGGAGATACCGCCTAGGTCAGGTGGATGTTAAGTAATAGCTTTACACAATTCAGCTTGGACCCTCCTTTCTTACAGCCTTACTAACTTTATAGACCTCTAACTCCTTACCTAACCACTTCTAGGAATACTTAGATAACCTGTGTGCTAACAGCTATGCTCAGCCAGAACCCCAGTTCAAGCCTCCCTGTAATTATCATCATTGGCAGCATCCGGCCAGGTCCATCCCCAGATGGAGGAAAGTACTTTATTAGCGATACCTCTGTACTCTCTAAGAACAGACTTAAGCATCCGGGCTACTTGTTTAAGAAGGCCTGGCGGATGTGCCAATTAAGATTTACTTCCTCCTTTCCCAAACCTTACCTCTAGTTCCAGATCTCCCTTTAACTATCACCAGGGGCATCTAGCTGTACACAGGTTGCCTAGGGACTGAGCACACTTCCCCCCACCCTGCAGAAAAACGGCAGATATCTTGGACAGATAGGAGCCACAGGAAAAAAGAAGGCAGTTTTATTTTCTCCCATTGACCTAACAACTTAAAGACTCTTAACATTTTCTACCAATCATGTTTACCTGAATTTAGCCTTTAGTTAATTCATTTCCCCATTGGTCACTTCCCTTTGGGGTTGCGAATGATAATTAACAGTTATTGCCTCCCTATGTGATTCTTATCACCCCTCCGTTTGACCCTGGAAGTCTGGCTTTGCACTGCTAAGGGAATACTCCTTGTAAGTGTATATATACCAGGACTTCCAGGGCACGTGGGGGATGGAGAAGAAGAAAGAGAGTGGATGAACTAGATGGGTAAGAACTTGAGAGGAACAAACTGAGATGGGAGAGAGAAGGAGACGGGAGAAGAGATGATATGGGAAAGAACAAGATGGATGAGAACCTAGAAGGGACAGAACTAGATGAAGGAGTTAAGATAGAACCTGGAGGGGACCGCAGATAAGTGTAGAGAGAAATCAGGCAAGAAAGGAGCTAAATATGAGAGCAGAATATAAGCTCGTAACTGACACAGAATAATAAAGTATATGGACTAAGGAGTTTTGTGTACATAGATTCATTTCTTTATATCAAAGATTAATTATCAGCTGGTTGTAGATTCTTCTCGGACCCTGGGAGGGGACTATCGAGGGGCTAGACCCCCATAGTTCCCAATAGTAGAGGGCCATTCTCTTTCTGTATCATCCTCTCTACCTGGAGACCCTAGTGTAGCCCATGCACAGAAGAGCCTGAGCTAAGGATAATGCTGAGTTTCCGGACACTGCTCAGGGCGAGAGCCAGAGAGCCTTCTGAGGTGTCTGCCATCAACATGTTCCTTGAGCTTGGCCTCCCGGTCTCTCAATAGAAAGTGGAGTTGTCCAGCAGTCACATGACCATAATGTGACAACATTGCATGCGGAGCAGATATGAGTTCCAGCCCACCTGCTTAAAGCCAGGCAACGAGGAGCCTTACCAAAAAAAAAAAAAAAAAAAAAATGCAAAACCCATCATTCTTCTCACTAGATTTTGTTTGGAAGAATACAGTCATTCTTAGAAAACTAGGTTTCTGGTCTCATGTCTTCAGCTTATTGCTGCTCATTAAAAATGAATTGATGTCATTATATTTGTTTAAATTCCATATCAGTGGCTCAGACCAAATAAATCACATTTTGGGGGGTCTTATTACCTTTGGAGGATGTGGAGGGATCCTAAGCCAGAAAGTGAGACCTGCTGCTTTAGGAAGGGAAGACTTCCTAGATTCTGGGACCTCGTGTCAACATGGGCCTCAGTGTGGGTTGTTTCTGACAAGCCACAAAGTGCCCCCTTTGAATCTTCAGTCCGTATCCCGCAGGCCTAATTTGAGAGACAGCTCAGACCAAAGTACCCTATGGCCACAAGGAAAGTATGAAAAGAAATCCGGGCTCCTCCCAGGCCTATGCCTCAATCCACAGGAAGTCTGGAAGATATCAAACTGGGAAGGATGGGGCAGCGCAAGCTGTGGCCAAGGCCATCCTGTGATCCCTGATCCGGGCGGGACTGTCCTCGTTCCCACTCTCATGAATCCAGGCGGGAGGAAAGAGTGGACAGTGGGCAGGGGAGCTGGCTTGAACCCAGAGTTTCTTTACTAGCTGTCATGGCCTCATGCGGAGTTGACCTGGGGCCTCTACCCCTGCACAGGCCTACATAGCTCACCTGTCCCAATGAAGTAGCATGTCTTGTGCATCTTGCCCTTGAAGAGCTCCAGCCCAATGATGGCATAGATGATGACCATGAAGAGGACGAGCAGGGCAATGTGGAACAGGGGGAGCATGGCCTTGAAGATGGAGTTGAGGACCACCTGAAGGCCTGTCGCAAACAGCAAGGAGGAGAAAAATAAAGAGTCATCCCCCCCCCCCCACGGTCTCATGCCCTTCCCTCTATACACAGTGGGATACCCAGGTCAGAAGGGCCAAAGGAGGGCTTGGAGGGCTTGGGGGAAGAGATGCTGTCACCCACTGGGCACCCCTGACACCAGCCGAAGGGGTCTGAGCACACGGAAAGCTCGGAGGGCCTTCACATCCAAGCCGGCTCCTTTGCTGCTCAGGGGGGCCGTGTTGGTCTGGATAATGTTAACTTGTTCCAGAATCACAGTGAAGACACTGGAGGGGAGAAGACGGAGAGAAGGCGGTCAGCAATCAGAGGAGCCACACCCCCAGTGCTCCGGGACCCTGGATCCTACCTGGGTGAAGGACCTGGGGGTGAGGTGGGGGGGGGGGCAAATGCAGTTCTCAACTGTCAGTGCGGAAGAATTTTATTTTCAAGGAATCTGAGGCTAAGTTCACCTTTGAGCTATTGGTGATGAACGGGGCTGGATACAGAAAGGGAGGCTTCAGATTGAGATACAAGTATGCCCCGGGCACAGTCCCTCACCGTGAGACTGAGAGCATCACAGTGAGCTGCAGATTAGCCCCTCACTCACTGATGACCCAGAGAAAAACACCCAGCAGAGAGTTCTCTCCTGATCTCCCTGCAGACAGGCCTTCCAGCCAATGCTGGATGTAGGCCTTCCTGGTTGGCCCCCTCCTCTACCTTCAGAACTCTGCAGTCCATTCAACTCTCCTCTCAGGAACATCATCTGACAATGAGCCCTGAGTTCATCGGGAAACGGTGGCGCCCTGGGAAACAATGATGCTGCTCTCTGATGCTCTAGGCATCTGATATGGCTTCCAATCTTACAGGGGCCGAGCTGAGTCTGAGGATGCTTCAGTTTTCCTTGTGGTAAGAGGAGACTCAAATGGCCAGTGGATAACCAACATAATAGTCTTGGACTGCAGGCTAGTACAGTGGCTAACTGCTCAGCCTCTGGAGCCAAAGATGTTTCTCGGTTCGACCTTAGGCAAGTTGCTCGGTTCTCTGTATCTTAGTCTCTTCATTCATGAAATGGAGGTTATGGAAAAGTTATTGAAGGATGCTACATGTAGTATACATGGTAAGTCCTCAATAAACGTGGCTGTTATAATTAGGCAATGATTATTAGAAGTGAGGTCACAGGCTAACGAAAACTCATTTGCTGAAATTCTGACACACAGTAACTCAGAATGTAACTCTGGAATAGGACTATTAAAATGAGGTCACCCAGGTGGGCTGTAATCCAGTTTGATGGATATGCTTATAAGGGGGAAATCTGGATGTACAAAAAGGCATCCAGGGTGCATGCTCATAGACAGACCACATAAAGACACCGTGAGAAGGTGGCCACTTACAGCCACGGAGAGGCCTGGGGACACCAGCCTGCCCACACTGGACTTTGGACTTCTGTCTCCAGAACCATCTGTAACAAATCTCCATTGTGTGAGCTCCCAGCTGCAGAATCTGATGGCCACCCCAGTACACTAATACAGGCTACTAGATGTCCATATTTATGTACTCAAATAACACCATAGCATAGGTCTGTAGAACCAGTGTACAAATGGCCAAAGTGGCCACTGGAGCCACCCCAATGTCCTCTGCACGTGGTGGGGGAAGATGAGGGAACTCAAGAGCTGGTGAAGTGGTCTGTGACCTGCGGGCAGGTGCTGGGGGTCACTGGTTCACTTCCCACCCACATTGACCCTGTCACCCCTGGGGTGGTCAGCACAATGCTGAGGTCCCATCTCTGCCTCTGAGCTTCTGGTAGTGTCTGTGGGCAGAATCTTCAGGCAAGCTCTGACTCCAGCCCCCAGCCAGCTCTTACCCCAGAAAGACAATGATGAAGTCGAGCACGTTCCAGCCACTGCGCAGGTAAGCATCCTGATGGAATAGGAAGCCGTAGGCTATAATCTTCATGGCGGCCTCGATGGAGAAGACGATGAGGAAGAAGTATTCCAGTTTCTCCTGGAGGGGAGGAGGTGGTGGCAAACACCGGTCACACCTTCCGGCTGCACAGTCCCAGTGCCTCCTCGCTCGAGCCCCGTCTGTCCTCCAGCCACGAGCTTCTGCCGCTCCTAGATGCTCCCTCCCACCCCAACAGCACCCTGCTCACTTCAACTTCACTTACGGTCTTCTCTGGCCACCAAGTGCAGTTTAAGCCACTTCTAACCTTTCAGCCCTTCACCCAAGCTTCATGCTGTCTTCCTAACACCTGCCTAGAGTGCTGTATACACGCTTTCATTGAGTTCATTAGCTCTTTCCTCACCAAAATATAAATGCCACAACATGGTAGGATTTCTGCCCATTTCCCACCCTATTTCCAGGACCTAGAGTTGGATGAATAATCCAATGATCCAATGCTAGCTTTTGTTTGTTTGTTTGTTTGTTTTTGCAACTTGACACAAGCTAGAATCATTTGGGGAGATGGACACTCAGTAGAGAAAATGCCTCGGAAGATTGGCCTATAGGCAAGTCTGTCAGGCCTTTTCTTGATGAGTGATTGGTGAGGAGGACCCAGCCCACTGTGGGTGGTGCCAACCGTGAGCAGGTGGGCCTGAGGTGGATAAGACAGCAGGCTGAGCAAGCCATGAGGAGCGAGCCAGTAAGCAGTGTTCCCCCATGACTTCTGCTTGGGTTCCTGCCTCCAGGTCCCAGCCTAAGTGCCTTCATTTGACTCCCCTTGGTGATGGAGTGCGCTCTGAGAGTTGTAAGATGAACGAAACACCTTCTTCTCCAGTTACTTTTGGTGGGGGTGTTCTGTCACAGCAATAGGAATCCTGACTAAGACAGACCCCCAAGTGGCTTCCGGCCTGGGCATTTCCCCTCTCCCAACCACTCAATGGACCACAGGCAGGAAGTAGGGTGGACGTAGCACCCTGAATGACCCTCTCTTGCTGCTCAGGGTCCTTAGCTCTTGTTTATTTCCCTGGCCTCCCCCTTTGCACATCCACCACAGCTGTCTACAGGCAGCTCCCACAGGCAGGGGGATGAGGAAATGGAGTGCCCCGGGTAAGAGGATGCAGTGTTGCTGGGGAGCCGAGGTTTCGGCTCATCCGTACTCCAAAGATGGCCTTGCTGACTCCTCCATACCCTGTCCCGATGCCTGATCCTCTGGGTCACCCTGAGCCTATCCAGGTCACTCTTTCTCTGCTCGGGGCCCAGGCAAGAGCTATTTCTAACTGAGAAAACAGTTCCCTCCTGGCTGGGCTCCAGGCTGAAACTGCTCTTCTTGCAGCTATCTGAAGCCTGGCTTGGTGGTTTCCGATAGCTCTGGTCCTCCAGGCTCCCCACACAATCCTAGCCTCCTGACAGGGTATCAAGGCTGCACACCCCAGCAGTTGGCTTCATTGGTGCACACAAAGTTGTTTTAGCAGGAGAGAGTCTGTGTCCACAGCCCAGTAATAGTTCCCCTATTACCATCACCAAGTACTACCCATCCCTAGTAAAGCATCTCAGGACTAGGGTCTCTCTAAGAACCCTTCAGGGCTTTCTTTTATTATGACTCATTTTTCTTTATTCTGGACACAGCCAGATAGGAAACCTGGCCACCCCAGGAATGACTTGAAAGGCGTGGAAGGAGAAACAGAGTCATATATGAGTGACATCTATTCTTTGTTTTGTTTTGTTTTGTTTTTGTTTTTTGATTTTTCAAGACAGGGTTTTTCTGTGTAACCCTGGCTGTCCTGTAACTTGCTCTGTAGACCAGGCTGGCCTTGAACTCAGAGATCTGCCTGCCTTTCCCTCCCAAGGGCTGGGATTAAAAGCGTGTGCCACCACCTCCTTAGACCTATTCTTTTTAACCTTGCCCCCAACTCCTTCTCAGTCTGTAATCTCAAAGCTTTCTCCTTGCAAAAATATAGTGTACAATGGAAAGGCACCTCCAAACTACTCCATTAACAGGGTTGTTACTAGGGCCTAGGTTGAGCATCATGGGGCGGGGTGTGTGGGGCACAAATCTTGCCTCCATATAAGAGAGCTGCTGGGAGCAATCTGCATACCATCCCTGCTGAGAGGAATGAGGTGAAACCATTGTGGAGAGTCTCCTGGAAATCAACTGGGTGGCCTTCCCTCTATCTGGTAAGTGTCTAGTAGTCAGGCCCATCTCTCAAGGAAAGGCCCATGAAAGGACAGGGACGTGAAGTCAGCATGTAAATTTTCAGATTGATTCAACCCCCCACGGGACAGACAGGGGAAGTTTTGTTGAGGGAAGGAAAACAGGACCCAAAATAGTTGCCGCGCTCACAGGCCGGGCGGCTGGCCACGTACACCGGAGAGCTGCCCGCACCTGCTGCTGTCTGTCTGTCTGTCTCTTGGCCACAGAGCAAGCTTGTAGGGGCTGTGGGCCTCAGGTGGGGGTCACTTGGGGTTCATAGCCCATGAGCTCCAAGATCCAACTCTCTCGGTTTACCGCTCAGCAGCTTAGTGCTGGAATGGACACAGCATGCCCCTTGCTGTGTAGACATGGACCAGGCATGTGTCCATTCTTGTACCATAGGAACAGTGTTATCAGTGTTACACTATGCTGGCCCCATGCCTCTCTAGCCCATGTATTGTCCACAGAGGAACAAGGGCTATGCACTCCCCAGGTATTTATTAAGCTTGAGACTAAACCCCCAGGCATGGCTGACCTAGCTGTCATCCTGTAACCAAAGCTATAGCCTTCCTAAAGCATTTCCATCACTGTCTGTGGGGAGTCTGTTGTCAAAGGTGGGAGGCAGGAGTCATGGGGTGCACATTCTCCCTGGCTATTTCTTTACTCAGGTCTGTCTAAGAACCTCAGTTTCCTTGTGATGGTTAAAGCTAATTCAGTGGTTAGGAGCACTGGCTGCTCTTCCAGAAGACCCAAGTTCAACACTCAGCACCCACATGGTGGCTTATAACCATCTCTAACTCCAGTTGCAGGGGATCAAATGCCCTCTTCTGGCCTCCATAGCCACTGCACACACATAGTGCACATATTTTACATGCAGGCTAAACACCTATACATGCAAAATAAAATAAATGCATTTTCTTTTAAAACCAAGCTAACTGACCGCCATCTCCAAAGAGCTGTCCTGAGGACTAAAGGGCATCCCGTAAGAGGTGGTGTCCCACTGCTCAGTGGGTCACAGGCTCTTCTGCACAGCTGGCTCTTTGTGGAGGGGCTCTGATACTTGTACCATGGTACCCATGGTGCTCTCTTGGTCGTCACAGAGCTGCTGGGTGGGGATACATCAGAGAGTGGTACAGCAAGGCACGTCTCTATCCAACCAGGAACTCGGCACATTGGAGCCTGAGCCTGTTTCCCCTGAACCTGCTCTTCCTCACAAGGCCCCGCATCGGCCAATAGTGTCAACTCACTCAAGACAGGGGTCTTCCTAGGCTTGGATCCCACCAGATCCAGACTTTTCTGTCTCTAATGCCTGGTTCATCCATCTCGTCTCCATGGGAGGTGTCCCTGCGCTGGCCTGGCTCACACTCTAATCCGCTGTCACTTGTTACCTGTGATGCCCCCCTTCTCTCCTGGTCCCTCTCTACTCTGGGTACTTCATCTCTCCTGGTTTCCTACGGCCATGTGGTGTGTCAGGTCAGCCCACAGCATAGATGGTCTCTTATGAAATGACCCCTGCTGACCTTGACTGCTGGCCTTACCAGTGTCCTGCAGGGCACCGGCCTGTCCGGTGGGATGACTTTCAGATTTTCCAGGCGACCTAGCCTCTGAGCCTCGGCTCATCTAGGCTCATATGACTTCTCTGGTTGTCCCCCAGGAGAATCTGCCGGGGGTGTCTTCTGTATTGCCCGGGACCCTGTTTGCTCTCCACCGCCTCTGCTGGACTGCAGCCTCCTGGGGCCAACCTCATCTTCCTGTGTGTGCCGACTGTGGGAGTCCCCGTGGGTTTGGGCCCCAAGAACAAGTGAGAGGGGACATCCCCATTAGGAACAGGATTTGGGTAAAGTGCCAGGGTCCCTCATAAGAGGGCGTCTCAGGATGAGTACAGGAACAGAGAACAGCAGGGTTTGAAGACTGCACACTCCTATCCCCTCCTGGGGCTAGCGTTCCACTTATACCCAACGGAAAGAATTTTTGGCTCAGCTTTGGACCCTTGCTGTTTCTTCTGCCTGGAATGCTCTTCCCTGGGTCCCGCTGTCTTCTTTCTCTCTGGCCCCAGCTTATGATGGACCCCTTCTGGGTCACCCTCCCTACTTCCCAGCTCCTTACTAGTGACACGTCACTTTGCTTGTTTGTCTGTTTTAGCAGACTTCAAGACGGAACTCGCCAGCTACCTGTTTATACACTTGACTGTCTCCTGACATGAATATAGGGCGGTCCCCTCAGCTTCCTGCTGTGTCACCTACATCTGGAAAGGTGACAGCCACATGGCTGCTACCACCGACCAACGGGTCATCGAGGAAGCTCTGTGAAAACCCCACAGCAACGCCTAGGCTCTAAGGGCGACCAGATGACAGATGCCATCTGCCAGTCACATAGCAAGTCCCATGAGACACAAGTGAAGTGGCCCCACACAGTAGAGCAGACTGGAAGCCATAAGCAACAAGCAGACCCTGATACCAGACTAGGGGAGACAGTCTTTGACCCTGCAGCAGACTCTTTGCCCTCCTGAACTCACGGGAAGACTAGGAAGCTGCCTGTGAGGTAAGGCCTCCAGCAGCTCCACCAGGCACCCGGTGCAGGAGGTCCTCCCACAGACAGACCTCTCTCTAGTGGAGCTTCAAAGGCTGCACTTGGTGGGGAAGCTTGAGCACAGGCCTTGCATCTGTGCGTTGTTACCCTGGAGCCAGGGGTTCCCAAAGTCCTGGGCTGAGAAGAGCAGGGCTCACAGTGCCCATTGCTTGCCTTGCCCCATGCCCATCTCCCAGTGACTCCCACCCAGGCATGCCTCGGGCTTTGAGAGAAGATGGTGGCAGCCAGCCAGACTCCTCTGCAAAGGGACACTCGCCCACTACAGTCTCCCTGTCTGGGCCAC